TGTATATATATATATATGCATATATATATATATGTGTGTGTATATATATGTATATATAGATGTGTGTGTGTCATATATATATATATATATATGACACACACACATCCATTTAATGAATGACCACCCCTAAGAACACCCCACTCCTTTCATCATAATTATCAATTGCCAGGTTGCAGTAAAAAGTTTCATCAAAAACTAATTCAAAAGGTTTAATGTATCATCTGATGTCTTCCTAAAAAAATTAGCATCAGACCACATTTGAATTTCTATAAATCTTCTGCTAATTTAAATGGCTTTAGAATTAATTAAAAATGTTTTTCAATCGATAATAATGTAACTCAGATAATTAGCATCAAGTAGCATCTAGAGGACATATTTAAAAAATGAATCTAGAGCATAAATAGACGTAATTAACAATTAGAATAACACTTTATAATTACGCTTTGTTTATAAATGCTAGAATGTCCGATTCATTGTTCAACGAAACCGGTCATTAATGAAAATCAAAGTTATTTTTCCCTGATGTCTCCATGAAGATGCCTCTTGGATGCACTGGCTTTTATGTTGCCTATTTTCTTGGTGATTTTTTAAAGACGACTCCTGCCCCATATTTAATAACTTTGTTCTGCAATTAAACTGAACAATATCATGCCTTATCTTGCACACTAACTTAGACCTTTTTGGTAATTAAACAGATGGGCCTGACTACAAACCTGAATTCTCTTATGTCTGACCTAGAGAGATAACTTTGCAGTACGGAAATCCCAACGGTGGCAAAGACACCAGGGCCATAAAGAGAGAGACAGGGCCTGGTACTTGCAGGGTAGCAAAGAGACTAGAGGACCTGGGCGCCAGGAGACTAGGAGAATGACAGCCCCTATCAGCAGAGTTAGGAAGTGGGCTCTGGAGAGGCAGGGAGTTTGCTGGAGGACACCTGGGCTCAGCTGCGCAAGGAGGAGTGCTGGAACGACCTCTATGCAGAAAAGTGCAGGCTGTTGGCTGGGAATTTAGAATTTGAAGTGAGAAGGCAGTTCAGAGCAAATACTGACTTGGGGTCATCTGAAAAGAAGCAAATGTTGAAGCCGTATATAAGAGTGGGATTTCCCACAGAAATGTGAGCGAGACAAACAAGGACTGAGCCTGGAGGGAGTCTTCACCCCATGCAAAGGGTGAGTCCAGGTTACTTATGAGGTGAAAGAAGGGAGGGAAGCAGAGGAAAAGTCAGAGATCTGGGAGGACTGCAGGAACAGTGGAGTATCTAGAAGCCAGGAAGGGAGGAACAGCTGGAAAACAGGTGCCTGGTTCTCCTTCCCTCCACTCGTAGTGCCAGTGTGCTATGGAGCTCGGGCAAGACGCCTGAGATAGAAGTCACGTGGGTAGCGGGAGGACTGCCTAGATTCAGATCGTGACTCCACCGGTTTCTCTCTGTGGAACTTTGGGCAAGTTTCACATCACTCTGTGCCTCAGTTTGTTCCTCTGTACATCAAGGTGATAAGCCAGGGCCCTCTTACCCAATGTCTTTATTCACAGCAATTAGTTTAGCGTTTTGCACAGAGAAAACCCTTAACATGTGTTAGCTATATTCATATTGTGGCTTTTCTGGAGCAAAGTGATAAAAGCTGAGCCTGAGCTCAACTGAAAGCTACCAGCAAAGCTGGGACAAAGCTGGGAGGGTCTTAGGTCAGTGGCTCTCATGTGTGCACATACATTAGAGTCACCTAGAAGGCTTGTTCAAGGACAGCTTGCTGAGCCCCACTCCTGAGTTTCTCCTTCAGTAGGTCTGGGTGGGGCTTCAGAGTTTGCAAAACTAATGAGTAGACTAGAGCTAATGCTCCCCATTCAGGGATCCACACTTTCAGAACCAGTGTCTTAGTGAGTAGAGGAAAAGACCCTGTAATTTTGGGAATTCAGCCCAGGCCTTCAACCCCTCCATCATGTAAGTCCTTCTTGAGAACACACATGCTAGCAAGACCAGCTTCGTGTACCTGGGTGAAATGGGCAGTGTCGTGTTTCTTGGCAATTAAAGGCTCTTCCTCTTCTGGCCCTTCCTATGTCCAGGAAATCCACTAGTCCAAACTTAAGTGATATATGAATACTTCCACAGGTTCTCTGAGTACCTTCTTAAGTGAACATATAGGGTTGGGTAAAATTTTAGAATGTGATGGGTCCCCTGAAGCCCAAGTGAACCAACAGAAACCATCCCCAACATGATGGTTAGCATCTACCGAGGGCTTCCTGTGTACCACCACTGTGCTATTTGCTCTCCATACACTGTGCCATCCAGTTCTCCCAACTACTGTGACAGCCAGGCATTCTTTTCTTTCCTTTTTTTTTTAAGATTTTATTTGTTTCAGAGAGAGAGCATACACAAGTGGGGGAGACAGGCAAGAGGAGAGGGAGAAGCAGACTCCCTGCTGACAGGGTACCCCATGTGGGGCTTGATCCCAGGACCCCGGGATCATGACCTGAGCTGAAGGTAGATGCTTAACCCACTGAGCCATCCAGGTGCCCCAACAGCCAAGCATTCTTATATTATGTTACAGAGTAGAAGGATGCCTAGTAGGGTGAAGCGACATCCTAAGGCCCTGGCTGACGAATGACAGAAACTAGGATTATCGGCCAGTGTCAACTCTACAACCTGTGCTCTCAGCCACTCAGCTACGTAGCTCTTGCCTGTTCTCTTTTCCTCAGGAAAGATGTGCATGTATGAGAGATCAGCAATAATGGCCAGCCTATATTTATCACCCTCTCCCATATCTCTTCCCAGATACAAATTTCCAGAGAGTTGAACCTTCTTTATGAAGCATGGCTTCTAGTCCCTTTGTCATTCTATTCAGGGTCCTTTGAGTGTGCATGAGGAAGTCATCTTCCTGAAAACTGAATAGGTGGGTGTGGTTATCGAGAGAAGAACGTAAACAATTGAGTTAAGCTACTATATTCTGGAGGCATTATCTTCAGGCTTATTCCTTATTACTTTCTACTGCTATTTCTACTCAACTATCAACAGAAATAACTGATTAATTAACATATGTTTCTTGTTATATTCATTCATTCTTCCACTCTCCATTTTGTTCCACCCTCCTTGTTTTATATGTGTGGAAACTAAGGCTTAGAGAGAAAAGCAAACTTGGGTAAGGTCACTCAGATCCTCAAGGTATGAGCAAGGATTCCAATCCAGCTACGTTAGACTCAACCATGAAATATGCATCCAGATTCAAACCTCCCAAGAGCTTGCTCAGTCTGATGACTCAAAAAGACAAACTTCTCATTAAACTGAAAATGAAACTGCCTAAACTTCTTGTTCCACACCATATGGCTGAATCCCAGCTGACAGGAAGCTCATTTCTGCAACACACCAGGCTCATTTCACTGAGTAGGTTGATGTGAGATTTGTGGGGTGGTCATTTCCTAATCTTTCTAGCATTGATAGCAGCAGTGGTATTCATTATGTTGCTTCCTTTCTACATTTTAACATAAAAAAGCAAATGTTCCTAATGATGGAGAGAGACAGATTTTGTCCTGAATTGTTCTCTAAGTAAAACATCACAAGCAGACACAATGACAACAACAACAAAAATATCCACCTGCCTTCAAGTGACCAAAAACTACAATAATCTTCCAGTCCTTAGTCTATTGAACAGTGGGGGTGTGGGGGGAGGGAGAGAGTTCTTAAATGATACCATCTTGGAGTTTTTTACACAAAGATTAAGCTGAAGTATTTGGACATCTAAAATGATCCTGAATCTTTCCAAAGATTCAGATTTTAACGAAGCAAGGTGACTCATGAAGTGTGGATGAACTAATAGAAAGTGCTCATATCATTTGTACAGAATGATCTGAGCATGAGATACCATCACGTTTTCCAATTATTTCCATACTGGGCAATTATTCTATAACCGGTATAGCAAAGTATTCTGGAACAAAAGGAGAGCCTGAAGTTTTTGTGTTTGTTTCCCTCACTGCCCCCCAAAACCTAGAACTAATATGGAAAGTGCCATTTCTACACATAATAGAGAAAGACATTAAGTGTTAAGGGTTGGCCAAGGTCTGAGAACATATTTGTGTGTATTTAGATGCACTGAGGCTGGAGTTCATGGGTAAGGATTTGAAAAGTCCTACCACTGGCCCTTGATCTTGGACAAGTTTCTTTACCTCTTCAAGCCTTTGTTTACTCATCTGAAAAATGGGACAAATTTGAGGAGGTAGCAAAGTATAGTGCTCTAAAGTGAAACACGCTGAATTCAAAATACCTGGCTGATACATCATGAACTCATTTAACCCTAGGGACCACTTGAGATGGTCAATGTTCTTAGCTCAACTGAACAGGAAAGAAAACTGGCTCAGTGAGGTCAGTACCTTGCCCAAAGTCACACAACTAATTGGTGACAGAGCAGGGATAAGTGACAGATTAGCTCCAGCACCAGGACTCCTAAACCATCATACTAGAGCATTTCAGCATACAGCCACAGAAGACTACTTTGTTGTGTAAGCAAATCCAAGGAGTCCATCAGCGGCACCATAGATATTACTGCACATGTTCTCACAAATAAATTCTTGGGCCCTTCCACCAGAAGGGCCTTTAATTCAGTGAGTCATGGTTGGATCTGTGAACCTAAACTTTTCAGAAGTTCCCTAGGTGATTCTTCATTTACAACCAGGTTTAGGAATCTCTGAATCATGTATATAGGTCTTGACTGCTTCTACCAAGAGTGCCAGTCTGTGAGGATAGGATGTGCTCTGTTATACTTCTTGACATGAATACGCATCCCTACCTGAAGCTCAGTGTTGACAGTCATGCCACAAAAACTCATGACTTGAGACATTTTCACAGGGCGGCGGGGAGGGGGACAGATTCTGAGGCACGGGGTGGGGGAGTTCATCTACCTTGCTTAAGAGAATCCAGGTAATAGACCTAAATCTCTCTTCTAGGCACCATTTCACTTTTCCTCTAAAATGTATACATTGGCATCAAACCAATTAAATGATTAAGGTTTCCTTACCTAAAACTCTTAATCTCTCTGCTCCTACCACCACTTCATTGTTATCTGCAGAGAAGAGCAATTTTCCAGAAACTGTCTTTACTTCAAACTTTTTGCCATAAGCTTCTACAGCTTTTGGACCTAGAAGGGAGAGAGAGAGGGAGCGAGAGAGAGAGAGGGAGGTTAGTCTCATTGCATTCATTTACAAAGAGCTTTTCGTAGAACATACTCGTCTGACTAGATTGTATTGGACTTTAATGTAAGTGGATTGGTTTTCAGAAGCCAACCGTGAAAATCAGTCTTGTGACTCTGGCCATGTCTTGTCAATTACTTTTAATCATATGCTCTTGGGCTATGATTTTAAAGACCATCATGTCCCTTCTTCAGACTAATGCTTGAATGAGATTTCCCTTAGCTAGCCACCAAATTACTGTCAAATACTTGTAGACTTTGGCTTGAACGTATTAAGGCACAGAAAGCTCACCACCTCTTGAAGTAATCAGTGTATCTTTGGCCAGCTCTAACTGTTGGAAAGGGTGCCTTTAAATTCAGCTGAAGTCTGTCTCACTCACTCTGTATCCTTAGCCCAGTGGCTGCATGTGACACCAGACAAGTCTATTTCCTCAGTATATAGATCATTTCCTGGCAGAAAAGGCTATCATATATTGCAATTAATTGCTAGAAAGTTGTTGAATCTTTTATGCTAGAATTTCATTCAATAAATTTTAGAGGGTTTATCATATGACAACAGATGCTATCCTTGAAGGGGGCCTATCATGGTGGCATCTTCTGATGGAGACAGATGTAAGTTTAAACACCAATGAATCAGAAAACTGCAGAGTTCTGCATACCATGGAAAAAATAAAACAAGTTAATATGTTAGAATTCCTTTTTAAAATAACAACAACAACAACAACAACAACAACAGGAGACATTTCAGTTTCTCTGAACTAGAACTACCTGAATAACTCAAGTTCAGGTGGCTCTCAAAAGCTGTTCTGCAGAAATGCATCAGAATAACCTGGGGGTGTAATCATCCTCACAGAACCTCACTCAGAGCAAAAGGAATTTATCTTTTGGGCTGGAAATTCATAAAGAAAAAAAGTTTTGAGGTTAGAGTCTAGAAATCTTCTATTTTTCCAAAACTGCTCAGGGGATTCTGATGGAGCATTTTTGTTTCTAGTTATTTTTCAAGACAGCGTCACTTAACTATAAAAAGTAGTAATGAAAGGGCCCTCAATGCCTTCCAGGCAAAGACCAATGGGAATACATGTGTAGGTGAGCAAGTTGGGTTTGTTATTCATTGCTGTGATGGAGAACACACACCATGGGCAACCACACAGGGCATCTCAGTAAGAAATACAGTATTTGGTTTTATGTTAGGTTATTTTGGGACTTGGTTTCAGGAAGCAAGGCTTTGCTCTGGATTAGGTGTTATTGGAAAGCGGGAGTGATTTTACAACTGGCATGTTACTATATCTTTCCTACAGGTAGGGAAGACCAGAGCAACGCTAAGACTGTAAAGCCTAATGAAACAGCAGTCACTGATATTAACCAGGATTGAGGGATGTTCGGTCATTTTAGTGGTTTGGATAAATGTTTCCATTTTTGTCTGTATTCAGACATGATTAGAGTTGTCTTCATTTTTTGTTTTGTATTGATCCTTCAGGACCAACCAAGTGGCCTCGTCTGGTGTTGACGTTTGGCAAAATTATTTATGTTCAAACAGGAGAGCACAGAGGCTTGGCTTATGGTGCCAGGCCTACTCTGGGACATCCAGGGCTGTTGTCCTCATTGGCAAGACCACCAGACTAAGAATCAGAAGAACTATGTCCTAACTTTCACATTCTCTAGAAATATGACTTTGGGAAAATCCTTTAGTCTTTCTGAACCTCATTTTCTGCATCTGTAGAAGTGTACTATCACCATCTATCTATTCTGTTACCTGGTAGAAAGGTTAAAAGGATCAAATTATTCTATGTTTATAGAAAGAACTTTGTAGGTGGAAAAGTGGTGTGAAATGTAGGGGACTGCTCTCGTGATTATCATCATTGTGATCACAACCCATCACCATTTTTCTAATGCAATGGTCCCAACACATTGAAAATAATTAATGACAATCACCCCTCAGTGCACTTGCCTCATTCACATAATCATGCCAATTTGGCAGCCCTCATCTCCTCCTCTGACAAAAGGAAGGGCATTGGAAAGGCTTCTGAATGAGTGGGAAATTGAAACAGACATAGCAGAGACTTTCCAAATGGCCTGGGACCTAGCCATGACTGCCTTCATGCTCTAGGTGAGAAGAACAAGTGGGAGCAGAGCTAAGGGCTCTCTCAAGGTCAACAGGTCAGCTACTGGAAGATCTGGGTCTGGAACTAAGCTCTCAGAATTATTCCATAGAAGAACAGGGATGTGTATTTGTCTAGAGAGAGAAGAGGGTTGGAGTCAACACATGAGGAGCAGCTAGGAGGGGAGCTTTAGAGGATGGTGAGGGGGAGTAGAAAGCTGGAGATAAGGACCAGAGTGCAGTCCTGAAAGAACAGAGATGGACGGTGAGGGCTTTGGATTAGACGATTCTGGGAGGGCTCAGACGTGGCTGTCTTCCTGATCACACCAAAATTGTAAATGAAATCTATACTACTTGTTAACATACTGGGATTCTTAACCGTTTTCTTTAGGAGGGGGAGACTGGGGATCTGAGGTGAAGGAGTGTTAATAAATGCATGAATGACCTCAGGATAGGCATGGGCTGAGTACTGTTTGCCACTCTGGATCTAGTCAATGGCATAATGGGGGTATGACTGGGGACCAAAAAAAACTTGGCCTCTGCCTCCATGGACCTGGGCAGTATCATGAGATAAGGCCCTTGAGGAGTTGAGAACACCTGCCAGTCTGCTCTGAACTTACGACTGTTTTGTGAGACATGCAAGACAATGTCCTAAAGACACCAAAGCAATCAGAGAACTCAAAACACAATTAAGTTATCTTGCTTTCCAGGGCTCCTCAGAACACAAAAAGGAACCTACCAATGGCCAGAGCCATTTGCACATACAAAGCTCTGTAGTTGGAAGTTTTGGCCAAAACCCCACAGAGCAACTGCTGGCTCAGTGGTGCAGATGGCTTGTCCTTTTGTTGATTTTACCTGGGGCTGCCAAATGTCCTAGATGGGGCTGAAATGAAACAAAGAAAGGAAAGGAAGGAAAGGAAGGAAAGGAAGGAAAGAAAGGAAAGAAAGGAAAGAAAGAAAGAAAGAAAGAAAGAAAGAAAGAAAGAAAGAAAGAAAGAAAGAAAGAAAAGAAAGAAAGAAAAAGAAAGATTCCGGAGGGAAATACAAATGGAACTGGAGACTGCTCAGGAGGTCCCCTGGTGAACCCATTGTTCTCTGGGATGGAAAAAATCATTACTTATAACCTGCAACTACTCTCCAGTTAAGTTCCCTCAGTGCATGGTGGTATGTGCGGAGTACTTCTTTAAATCCTTAATGCATCTCCTACACGGGGAGAACTGGAACCCATCAGGACACACCAGCAGGCCCCCAGTCATGCCAATGCCATGAATCTGAGAGCTGAAAGGGGGCCATCCTGCTTAATTTCTCTCCCCCAACCCCCTTGATCCTGAGACCCTTCCCCGCTCTGGTGAGATGCCATGAAAGGCTCATTACAACCCTCTTCCATGCAGGCCGGAGGGCTTTCTCTATGGGCCACTACTGAGCAGGCCCTAAATCAGCTGCAGGGGGCGCCAGATGTGCTTTTGTGGCCTCACCTGGCACCTTAGCTATCACTGAAAGTCCGGTTCTGTGGGAAAAATTTACCTGAACTGCTAACACTGGAATTTCTACCGGGCTTTTGAGACATTCTTGAGGTCAGCAGAAGTCTTGATCCTCAGGATTGCCTGTGTCAGCCTGGCTACTTGGACGAGAGTGGTCACTTGCTCTGGGGTAGGCACGCCACCAAGGAGAACAAGCTTTAGCAGACCCTGTCTCCCAGAACTGCTCTGTGCTTTCCACCACATGCATAAATGCAAAAGGAAAAGCCCGAAGGAAAACCTGAGGGGGTGAGCGTGCATGCGTCTATGTACTTAGAATTATATTTTGAACCATCTATTATCCTCTCTAGTGATCATCTTGAAAGGCTCCTGTCAGCTGCCATTAGAGTGGCTTTTTGCCCATCTCATTCCAATATGAGCTCTCTTGGGCCTCACTGTGAGAGCTCCGGAGAGGGGCCTCAGCTGCCAGGGGGGCTAACTTAGGCAGGGGAGGCAGGAAGAGAGAAGACAAGGAAGGAGGGGGAGGAGAGAGAACGGAAGAGAAAAAGGAGAGAAAGAGAGAGAGAGTGGAGAGATGGGGGAGGAGGAAGGACAGGAGCAGAGAGAAAGAAGAAGGGGGGTGGGGAGGGAAGGGGAAGAACGATGGAACGGGAGGGCGGGGGAGGGGAGGCAAGAGGAGGGGCTCAGGAATTTGGGGAGAGGAGGGAGAGGAGGAGGTTGGGACGGGCGGCGGGAGAGACACTGACTGAAGAATAGCCATTCGGGCACTTCCAGCTTTATCAAAACAAAATCTCTCAAGTAAACCAAACCTCCCATGGCAAATAAATGGCGAATGATCAACAGGCTAAATAAGTTCCTTTTGAACAGAGGAATCAGGGAACGGGAGGTTGGATTTATTTCCCTCCTGGAGGCAATTTTCACACATGCTGCTTAAATCACTGCTTACTGAAGCTGTTTATTTAATTATTTAGCGTGGTGACTGCAGGCCAGATGTTCTGTAAGCAAGGCCGACAATCCAGCCGCACACTGGAACACCATGTTAACGGATTAGGCACCGTGCCATGCGGTGGCTCCTTCCACCACTGGTAGACCGTCCAAGTCACCCCCTGGCTGTGACTCTCCAGACATCGGATGCAGTGCTCCTGCAGGGCACAGAGACCCTTTCCCCCCGCAAGCCTCGGGGCACAAAGCACCTGTTTCTCCGTGGGGTGTTTATCAGCGGGGGCGCCAGATGTTTCAGTCACAGTAACGTTCCAGGGTATTTGGGCAACTGGCTTATCAAAATGTCCATCTGTATACTTCTCTCTCAGCCCTGAAGCCAAACAAATGGCATTTTCTCTCTGGAAGCGTAACAATGCTATTCAGACGCATACCGCTTTTCCCTTCATCTGTGGGGATGCCTAATGGCTCCTGTTTACTGTGGCTCATAACCTGCACTGGGGGCATGGGTCATACCACTCAACACATTCCCATGACCGTAAGGCCCAGGCTTATCATTATAATCATTACATGAATAACCAATCCTTGTTTAAATTTTAGGAATACGCAGCTTAAAAGCCCAGTGGGTGCTTTCTGCAACTGTTAGGAGCAGATCTGCTCAGATGAAAGGAACCACACAAACATAATCAAAGGAGGTACCTCTGCATTGTGCAGCTGAGTCAGGTTCAAAGTCAGCACACATTGCAAACATGGCATGGATTCAAATTACCTTTAAAAATCCCCTTTATGCCCCATAAAGTCTGTGTGCAGGGTTTTGTGTATATTGTGTTCTCTCTCTCTCAATTAATCCAACCCAGCCAGCTTGTTCTCCAGCATGGGAGCAGAGAGCTTTTCTGTTGTTGAGCACCAGATGAAGCAGCTGGCTTATGTTTAGGAGCCATGTTACATGAAAAATAGCTTATTGCCCCTCTAAATGAGTATTGTTGGATTTGCATAAGTTAAATGTGTTTATATGATGAGCCTTTACCCTTTAGTAGAATCATGGCACACATGCTACCTTCTTCTCCACCCTGTAAAACATGTTAGCGTGCATTTCTTTCTTTAGTTCACGTCGTATTTCATTCAGTCTTTGGGTCTATGTTTTCTGAGTGCTTAGGGTGGACCGGGCCCTGCCAAGTCTTTTAGTTTCTTACCTGTGATGAGCTGAGTTAGCACTTTAGTCTGGTCATTGAGAATGTTCACTGTAACATTTCTGGCTGATTTGAAGTATAGGGCATTACCCTGTAATAAGAAAATAAGAGAAACACATGAAAATGGCAAATTTTGAAACAAATAACTGTAACCACAACTCTCCAAGGGGCTGAACTGGCCTTCACCAAGTGCTAATTGATGTGTCTTTATTTGAAAACTCCAAATGTCTTCATGATCCCCACATACATGATAATTGGCATTCAACCAAAATGGATTTCCTCCGAAGAGACCCACAGAGACCAAGATGCACTCAAAATAGATTTCCCTAACACACACACACACACACACACACAGTTGAATCAGAGGCAACCCAGCGACAAAGAGTCCTTTAGATCTTACTACAGATTTAAGTTACCTTTGGTACATAGAGTGATCAGGAATGACTGGTAATCTCCTAATTTCACACTTTCTAGTTTGTAATTTTTCCAAAGGAACCATGGAGAGTCCTAACTGGAGAGCAGAAAGCATGTGGAAAATACCCAGGGTCAGCCCCCCTGGCCTCTTCCCTGGCTGTGAGAATCCACGTGCAATTCAGACCGAAATGTTCCCTGTGCCTTTATCCAATGCTTCCTTTGTCAAAAAGAGCACCCCAGTCCATTTCATACTGCAGCAGGCACTTCTGAGAATGACTCAGAGGTGGGGGGGGGGCATACTTTTTCTGCAAAGGGTCTGATAGTAAATATTTGGGGTTTTGTGGGATGTATGGTCTCTGCGGTAACTGCTCAACTTCTAACTGCTGTTTTGGTGCCAAACCATCACAGACTGTACACAGACAAATGGGTATGTATGGCTGTATTCCGGTAAAACCTTATCCATGGACAGTGATGTTTGAATTTCAAATAGTTTTAAATTTAACATAATCTTACTGTATTCTAGAATGTTCTTCCTTCTTTCCCCTAATCATTTAAAAATGGAAAAACTCTTCTTATTTCATTGGCCAAATGAGAACAGGTAGAGGGGCCAAATTTAGCCCATAGGCCACAGTTTGTCAACCCCTGACTTAGAAGTTCTCCCTGAATTGCTGCCAGAACGCCTCAGTATCTGGATAGCTGTTATCAGAAGAAAGGAATGTGGGTAGTCATTCTCTTCTTTCTAAACCTTTGTTACCACATGGCATTTATCTGCCCGAAAATTCTATAATACCACTATGCACTGAGTCCCAAGCCCAGAAAAACCATCGTCCTAACAGCGGTGCGGAAAGCAAAGATAAGTAAGACTCCTTTTTATTTTTATATTTTAAAGATTTTATTTATTTATTTGACAGAGAGAGACACAGCGAGAGAGGGAACACAAGCAGGGGGAGTGGAGAGGGAGAAGCAGGCTTCCTGCTGAGCAGAGAGCCCAATGCGGGGCTCGATCCCAGGACCCTGGGATCATGACCTGAGCCGAAGGCAGACGCTTAATGACTGAGCCACCCAGGCATCCCTCCTTTTTATTTTTAAAGTCTTACGATCTAATGGGATCAACAAGATGGACACACAAATAATGCTAGACAGAGAACCATCCCGGGTGATTAAGGAGCCGCCAACAAAGTGTGTAGGGAACTTTCCTGAAGGGTAAGATTATTCATAGCTTGAGGCTATGGAGTGGGAAACAAAGGAGATGTTTGTGAATGCTTCAGCTGAGCCTTAAAAAGAATATAGATAGGTTTCACCAAGATGAAATGAAAAAAGGAGGTCATGGAGGGAAGAAGTTGTGGGATGAGCGTCTCATGTCTTTTTCCTTCTAAAGCTGGCAGGGCGTCGGAGGGGATTCGTGAGCTCAGCCGAGCAGCCGCATGTGGCAGAGTGGCTGGCTAGCTGGGACAGGGAGCCACCAGGATGGCATTCCTTCCATAAACTGAAGGCCCGGAGTCATGGTCTCCCCACCCAAGCCCCTGTGGGGGACTGCAGTGCATCAGGGGCTGCCCTGATGAGACAGAAGTCACCATCTCTCTCCCTGACACTAGGACAGTAGCTCTGGCCCAAGGTGAACTTCTAAAATGCATAACCTATACCCACGTCCCGCCCAGGCCCTGGAGAACCAGATCTCCTCGGGCCAGGGCTGTTGTCTGAGTGTCAGGGAAGGAGACGGTGTCTTCTGTCTCATCAGGGCAGCTGCTGATTCACTGGAATCCCCTGCAATGGCTTCAGGTTAAAATTCTGCCTGATGGTCAACTTTTTGCTTTATTTTTTAATTAGCTAAGAGAAGAAGAAATTTAATACTGTCACAGGCTTCTATCTTCTGTCCATTACGTAACAAATATTAGCCTAAAATAGTTTCTTTGACATTGCTTTTGGCACTGCTCAACAGTTCTACTTAAAACTGCAAATCAATTCAAGTAATGTAAGGATTCGGAACCTGGAACCTGGACAGGAGGTTTTATGTTTCTAGAAGTTAATGTACTAATTCTTCTTATATTCAGCAAGCTGGCACTGCAGAGAGAAGGGCTACGTGGAGTGAGAGAATAGTATATACTCTGCTGCCACTGACCGGTGTGTGACCTTTGGAGCAAATCACTTAACTGCTCTGTGGGTCATTCTGTGCACTCTCCACCATCAACATGGATATGATCAGTGAGCTCGCGGCTGACACAACTGAGCACTATGTGTCACGTGTGCAAGGGCTTGCAGGGACCTGCTGGCTGACCAGTTCTGCGGGGCAGAAAGGAGCCTGGCAGACCCATGGCTTCTGATGAAGATCAGAGCTCTGGACCAGGTCAAGTCAGTCTGAGGCCAGTCAGCCCTCGATTCTTCTGGCCACAGGGTGAGCCCAACCGGGAGATGGGGAAGGGAAGCAAGCACCATTCTTCCCACACTGGGAGCGGAGGACAGTCCACATGGGTACTCTACCCCAAATAACTACAGCTCGCAGCAGAATCCCTTTCACATCTGTTTCTCTAAAGCAGAACAAAATCAAACCTTTTCTGGATCACTCAAGACCACTGACATGAACATTATTTGTCCTACGATGCCCTCCAGGGGCTATCAGAGGCACGCGGCTGCTTGAACACGAAATGGTTCCATCAGGCTGACATTTTAAAATTAGCATGTCTTATTTTTTTTTTATTATTTATTCTTCTATCAAAACAAGTATTAAATGTTAAGTATTTATAAAGCTTCTAATCAAAGAGCAACGGCTTATACGTCTTACCACTGCAAGAGCTTTCAACTTGCCAGGATGTTCCTCCACATGTTTCTCTCTCTGCGGCCCTGAATATGCTTCCACACTATCTCTTGATTTAACAAGTTTAGAGGTTATCCACTGAATTTCTGCAATGGTATGGACTCATCCTTACAACTTTGGTAAAATCAATATTCAGAATCTACATTACTATGATTATGTGTGTACTGTCCACAGCTGTGCCAAGTAGTTTTCTTTAACTACATGTCCTTTGCTTTCTTGTACATTTTTTTTCCTTTCCCTGGGGCCCATAAATGCTTCATTTAAAAAAAAAGCTTTATTTTCTAAATTTTCTTTTTTTCTCTCCTACTGTTTAATCCTTTTTCTTTAATTTCTATTTTTGGGGTCATACTTTAAGTTCCAATTTTTCTGTTATTTTTAAAAATTTTGTACTATCATACCCTTGGTTTTCAAGAGCATTTTCTTATTTTTTTGACCCTTCATTTTTATGCCATTCCTTCCTTGTTTGATGGATGTGCTCTTCTGTCTTCCATGAGAGTAAAAAATGCTGGCTGGAAGCTCTGTGTTTCTAGATGGGTGAACCTTGCCATAGGGCACAGTAGTGGGGGTTTGGCTAACTCAGTGGAGAGTGTCCAGATGTCAGTAGCGGTGGGCCGTCAGTACCCGTGGGCTAATCTCATCAAAAAAGAAATCTCTAACTCCTGCTAGGAAAGTGGTGGGTGTAACTTTTGATATAGGAGTTCTGACTGTCAGAGGGGAAGGGGGCTGGGCATTTTGCTGTTCAGGGACAGACTTTTAGTTAAACCCGTTTTCATGCTTCATTCCTGACCTCATCTATGCCTAATGTCCAGAGCTCAGAGGTCCTCTGGTCAAACTTTCTTTTTCTTTTCGTTTTTTTTAAGATTTTATTTATTTATTTGAGAGAGCGACTGAGAGAGAGCACGAGCAGCAGGGAGAGGCAGAGGGAAAGGGAGAAGGAGACTCCCCACTGAGCAGAGAGCCCGATGGGGGACTCGATCCCAGGACTCTGGGATCATGACCTGAGCTGAAGGCAGACGCTTAAGCGACTGAGGCGCCCTGTCAAATTTCTAGAAAACAATCTTCCTATCTTCTGCGAGGTTGGGAGGAGGTACTTATTATCTAACTGGGTCAACTGGGGATGGGAGCTGGGAGAGATGGAGAGTCGAAGTGAAGGGTCTTTGTGCAGAGTTTTGACCAGTCCAGGTCCCTGTTGACTTCTGCGGGCCCCAGACACTGTACTTAAAATGCCTCATGGATAAGTGGCCCTGTCTCACTCACTTCCTGGAATGGGTTTCAATCCTAGAGGCATGTCTAGCTCTCATCTACCTGCTTTCTCCATCATTCTCTCTCAGTTGTTTTCTCTCCCTTTCTCTGTGACCGTGTATGTTTACTCCTTTTCACTTCTGTTCTCCATTCACTGTCTTTTTTCAGTGGGGTTTTTGAATTTTTTTTTTTTTTTTTTTGCGAGCGAGAGAGCAAGAGAGAGACAGAGAGAGTGAGCAAGCATGCAAGCCAGGGGAGGAGGAAAGGAGAGCAAGGGAGAGAGAGAATCTTAAGCAGGCTCCATGCCCATTGCAGAGCACAACTCAGGGGTCGATCTCACAACCCTGAGATCATGACCTGAGCCAAAATCAAGAGTCAGACGCTTAACTAACGGCACCATCCAGGCACCCCATCAGTGGGGTTTTTGAATGAAGCAGAGACCTACCATTCCTCACTGCTCTCAGTCTGTCTACCTCTAGAGCCACCTCATACTACTGCCTTCTTCAGAGGAAAGCAGGTTAAAATTGTGTGTAAATCAAGGACAGGCAGTCTCTGCTCAGGACTCAAGAGCTTTCTTAAGCATTTTACACACACTACATGAGTGCCTAGAACATACACACTGT